TCCCACAATCGTGAGGCATCAAAGGTAACTGTAAATAGCACTACACTGATGAGGCCCATAAGGCCGAAACGGTACCGTCTGTAGTTAGATATCGCTCTATGGCCTTTAGGTCATATTGAGCGGTCTACAGGATGAGCCATGCCGCTTACGCATTGCGCACGCTTACTGCTTGCAGTTTGAGCGCTCTGGCATGGTTTTGATGTCCCACAATCGTGAGGCATCAAAGGTAACTGTAAATAGCAGTTATTTTCATCCTGCTCATCAGCACTACACTGATGAGGCCCATAAGGCCGAAACGGTACCGTCTGTAGTTATATATATATATATATATATATACGTCCTAATAACAAAAACAGACAACGGCACTTTAACCACACAAGTTTATCGCAAGAAAACACACACATGCAGATCAAATTTTAAATTACAAGAGCAATCACAAATTAGATATAATTTTATATATATATATATATATATATAAATATATATTGTAATTTAAAATTTGGTCTGCATGTGTGTGTTTTCTTGCGATAAATTTGTGTGGTTAAAGTTCCGTTGTCTGTTTTTGTTATTAGGACGTCCAAAAATGGGAGTTTGTTGTCATGTTCTTTCTCTTTGGTAAATTTGATGTTCTTAGTGGTGTTTGTTAATTGTTTGTAGGATGTCGTCTGTTTTGTCCTTTTTGACAGTAGCAAGTACATCGTCTACATACCTGTCCCATGTTTCATCTTGCAGATCTTGCCGGCATCACTGCTAGCTCAGCAAGGAAACTGGAAAGTGGCGACCCCATTGGAGTGCCGGAGATTTGTCGGTAGTAATTGTTCTGGAAGCAGAATTCAGTTGAAAGGCATAGGTCAAGTAAATCAAGAATGTCTTGTATATTAAGTTCTGTCTTTGTTTGCCACGAAGTATTGTTAGTAAGTAGTTTTTCAGTTATTAGTCGGGCAGTGTCAAGTGGAATGGAAGTGAACAAAGAGACAACATCAAAGGAAATCATGATTCCACCAGGTTCAACGTGGATGCATGTCTTTTATTTTCGACAGAAAGGCGTTAATTTAATATTCTTAACAGAGTGTGGTGATGTACTTACCAGAGGTTTGAGGATATCAGCGAGGTATTTTGACAAGTTGTAGGTGTGTATAGGTGGGGGATCCAGGTAGAGAAACAATTGGTCAGAGAGGATTATTATCTTTGTGTGTATTTTTGGAAATCCGTAGAATTTAGCGATTGTTGCGTCTTCAACATAAACAACAAACTAACTTAACCAAACAAAAACGAGAATTACACTTCCTTACTGCACACTACATCAGAAATGGCAGCTATAGACTCCCTCGACCATGCAACATTGACGTTGCACACAAACCAACATGCAAACTTAGGTTCAACTTCACTAAACACAAAGACAAGACACATATAACGGAAAAACATAACGCCATTTATATCTTCCTTTGCAAAAACTGTCCGGATAAGTACATTGGACAAACATCTAAAAAGATTCAGACAAGACTAACAGAACACCAGAACCGCTATCAACAGACACGACCATAGCTCACTTCCAGCTAAACACACTGACGACAACGGACATAAATCAGTCGACTGGTCTCAAACGAGATGCCTATAGGACAAGCAACTACTAAACATGCCCGTGAGTTTAAAGAAGCGTGGCATAGTTTAGACAAACAAACATTTAACTGTCACATTGACATCCCTGCAATTTACTTACAACTGAAACGCTCGCACAATTCTTCTAATTCATCTTCATTAACCTTTAACACACCCTCAACTTCCTTCCCTACACCGTCTCATGGTAACAATAATTATATATATATATATATATATATATATATATATATATATATATATATATATATATATATAATATATATATATATATATATATATATATATATATATATATATATATATATATATATATATATATATATATATATATATATATATATATACACACACATATATATATATATATATATATATATATATATATATATATATATATATATATAGCTTAAGATTTTGGTTTACGAAACACAAACAGTGCTCAATACCATATAGATAGAGCGTAATATAGTTTTCCGTTTTCCGTTACGGAAAACTATATATATATATATATATGTTAGTTGTGTAATTGTACACTCTGTAATATGTTAAGATGAAAATGTTCTAGAGTGTGTATTATATAATTTCCATACCCAGCGCAAGCAGAAAGATGTTGTCTGCCGTGGCTGGGTCTCGAACCCGCGACCTTCGAATTACTAGATCGACGCTCTGCCTACTGAGCTACACGGCCAAACGGATTTAAGACTGGAAATTATGAAATATATAATATATATTATGAATTTATTTCATAATTTCCAGTCTTAAATCCGTCTGGCCGTGTAGCTCAGTAGGCAGAGCGTCGATCTAGTAATTCGAAGGTCGCGGGTTCGAGACCCAGATATTATATATATATATATATATATATATATATATATATATATATATATATATAT